GCTAACCTATATATGATGTCATTCAGAAACTATTTATTTTTACAATTATTGGTCAACGTGGAACATATATAAAAATACCCTCACAATGTTGGAATTGGTGTAATGCATAAAACAAACATAGTCAATAAAGCATCATGCAGGATTGCAAATAAAATTAATTCATATGTCTTTATCTCAACTTCTTAAATAATTTGGTATGAAAATACATGCACTCTACAATAGCAAAAGGAAATATCACCTTTTCCAAGAGTTCATTGTTGACTTATGATATAATTATGTAATTTTATTATCACTACTTTAAGTGAGAAATTTGTAATTTTTGGTATATAGTTAGTTGTTATGCATGTTGGATAATATTCTTAATACACTTCAGCTTCCTTGTAGATTTTTGCGCGCAGGTGGGTAATTGTAACATAGCTCAATCAATCAGTCTAAACTAAACCAACATATTTTGACACATTTGGAACTTCACGAGGTGTGTGTTAGTTTCTTAAGATTTATAATCCCCTAGTATTGATAATAGGCTATTCATGTAAAGCATGATATCAACATCTCAATAAGCTTCATTTTAAAAGATAAAACATTATCTCATGTCCTCAAATAAATAGTAAAACAACGAGCTGAAGAGGGCAGCAGTTTGCTTGATAATTATTCAAACGTGTTCTTTTGAAGACGAGGAGCCTCCAAATTGTAAGCTAAGATAGCCTCTAGCCTGAGTTTGATCCTATACCTTAGACGGGCTCCAAACCAACACTGCTTATAGAAACCACTTCACCAAGGAGTGCAATTTAAGTCCCAGCTTAATTCAGTCAATCCCCATGTAAGCAGATAAAATTCAAACTTAAGATGGTGTTCACCATTTCAACGCGTCATATCAGCTAGGTCACCCATAGTGGGTTTGAAGTGATTTATTGTTATCACGTGTGTGAAAGAGGTATTCATACATTATGTGAAAGAAAGTTTCTAAGAGGAATCAAGAATAGCTAAGTTGAATTTTTGCCAGGGAAAGCAACATAAGGTGCTTTTCTGTATGACAATTAATAAGGTAAAAGGCTAAATAGATTACATTCAATCAGATGTATAAGGGCCTAAATCGACAAAGTCTGAAGGCATGCAATACATTTTAATTTATTGACAACTTCTTGTAGTGCGTGACTCTGCTTCCTAAAGCACAAATAAGAGGAATTTGTGCTATTCAAGGAATAAAATAATATTGAAGATTTTAATTAATCACTAGTAAAAAGAGGGTATAGTTCTCATGCATAAAGTCCAAATTGAGATCCAAACAAAACTATAGCCTATAGGGTATTTTATACAAAAGTGCAAAGTAGGATAAATAATAGGGGACTTGAGTACAAATATACCAAACAATGAAATAGTTGCTGCCGTTTACCTTTGAGCCTGAGGCGACGACGGGCTAGAGTGGTGATGTTTATTATTAAAATGAACAAATCTGGATGTGCAAAAAGAAAAAGGAAATTTATAGATGAAAATATATAGTGCACGGATCCCTGTAAAATTACTAATAAAATTATTTTGTTGGTGCTTAAAGATACATGTATATTCAAAACCTAGCATCTCATCTTCTATTATCTAAAAGTAACAAAATTGAATCTACAGGGGGTAAAATACACACATATCATATGGATCTCAAAAAACTAAGTACTAGTAACATATATGTTGGTGGTCCTTGAATCAAGCATGCAGGGTCATAACAAGAAAATGATATTGTCATTAGTTTAGTGTATCTATTTCTTACAATACAACAATTCATACCTAATGTATAGGGTCTTTATGAAAAAAGTGCAAAGTTGGCTAAACTATAGGGATTTAAGTGCAATTATATGATACAAAAGAATGACGATGGCAGGGGCATGACGAAGGGCTACGGTGGAGATCTGGCGGTGCTGGGGTGACGCCGACGACGGGGCGACGAAAGGCAGGCACTGAGTGGAGGTTGGCGGGGCTGGGACGATGAGGACGGCATCGCCACTAAGAAGCGATAGGTGGAATAGATCACCGGTGTTGTGGCAAGATCATGGGCTGTGGTAGGAACGCTGGCACTGGGCGGCGGCAGCTCTGGCGCTGGCGCTGGCACAATGAAGAGAATAGGTGCGATTGTATGCCCTACGTGAACAGTAATAAGACTTTTAATTAGGGTTTAGATTAATATGTGCTTAGTAGGTTCTTTGGGTTTTGGTTCTAATTTATATTAATTTTGGTTAGTGGGTTGTTTGGGTTAGTAGCCTGTTACGATTAGGATTAGGAGTTATGATTAATGAAGGTAATAGACTCATTCGTGTTTTAGGAGACCCAATAACGACGGTATTAGAACAAAATCAAAGAAGGGATTAGAAAACCGTTATCCCACATCACATCATTACTCTAATAATTGTGATAACTCGATGAAGGGCTTTAAAACCGTCGTTATTGTACACACATTAATGACGGTCAACTGGTCCCTTCACTAATTTTGTTCGTTAAATATCGGATTTCTTGTAGTGCATCAAGTAGTTAGTCGAGTGGGCTCGTTACGAGTCGTCTTCGACAAAAGGGGTGACAAGTACCGCCTTTCAAGTCGACATGAGGGAATGTCGACTCGGCGAGTTAGCTGAGTTGTCATCCTTGTTGATCTTCTGTCGCCAACTTGATTGGGACATTGCATGCAGATGTACACCTATCCGTTGCTAGCAAAGGGTCACACTTAGGTGATTGAAAACACCATAACAATAATAAATATTTTGGACATCATTATTATTTGTATTCTCTCCAATCATTTCATGAAGGATGAGATGTTTGCATGAGTATTTATAATTACTATCGAAATGATCAATTTTAGTTTTTAATTACTTCGTAAAGTTTTTTTTTTTTTGTATGACAGGTTTTTCTTCCTTTGGAAAAGGCTTGGGCTAAATAGCATGGTACTTAGCTATGTTAACTACATGTATATATCATGAATTGTTTTGAGAACCTTTTAGAGATTGTTTCATAGTCTTGTTTCTCTATTTTTATGGACTTCTAAACAAATCATGGTCAGCATGTTTCTTGAGGAGGTAATGTACCATCTGAACATTTCAACATCCTCACTCTTCTGGGCAATATAAGAAAAAAAGTATGCATAAAAAATATAAATTTTTGTGTTCAATCACTTCTGAGAGATGTTTATAACATTTTACTGTATTTTAGGGTACATTTCACAAAAACCATGAGAAATTTGGTCTATTGTGAGAAAACCCCAAAAAGTTTAAAAATGTTACTTAACCTTCAAAATTTTCCAAATAACCCCACAAATGTTGGGGCTTATCGGAAAATAGATTTAGAAATATGAAATAATTTCAAGGATTAAGTGACATTTCCAAACTTTTCATAGTTTATCTCAAATGGACCAAACTTTTCTGGGGGTTTTGTGAAATTTATCCTAACTTTTATGTCACAACATGAACCAAAATATCCGCATAAAGATTGAAGAGTTTAAGAGAAGGCATAAATTTTCTTAAAAACACCAATTCCGAATTTAAATTCATATATAATAAAATGTATCCAAACACTACATTTTAAATCTTTGATTTCAAATAATTGCATTTAGTAAATACATCCAAACAAAAAGTTCTATCACATCATGAATTTTAAAATCTATATTTTAAATCATTTAATTTTAAATCAATCTTCGGAATTCAAATCTTAATTCCCATATGCAACCTTAGACTATTTGAATACTTAGACTCTTATAAGTTAGGCTTGAGAGCGAATAGGTAATTTTATAATCTAGCATGTAGGTTTTGTTGGGGGGTAGAGGGGTAAATGTTTCGTACTCGTTCTAAGGTACAGGTATTGTTGCTCTTATTGTTTCTTTATTAACTTCCTCTCTTTTGTCTCCCTCAGAAAACTCTCTCTCTCTCTCTCTCTCTTTTGCTTTGGATTTTGAATCAGAGCGGTGGTCTGATCTGATGGTGATATGTAACTCAGCATTAAAAGCTGGCTAGCAACCGTCGCTGTTTCCTCTACCACTCAAACTCCCACCTCTTGTCCCTGTTGCCTTGTCTTCACCTATTCTGCACTCATGACATGATGAAGCACAATCTGAGGGAGGGAGAGAACGGATGTCATAAAGAGCTACAATTAATATATTCTTTTTTTATTAAATAGTTTCAGGTAAGTAGCAGAGAGGAAAAAGTCTATAGCGCCTTTTAGGATTTCCGCACAAGCTTTTCGCTGACTCATAAGTAACCTTTTAAACTAGTACCTAGACTCACTTTTCAAGCCTATTCCATTGGGACTAATCCTAAGCTCAGTCATTTCAGGACTAATCTATATATGGAAATTGTTGTTTGACCATGGGTTTTAACAATCATGATCCTTTTCTTCTTGACAAGAAGGATCTCAGCACTCTCTTTAAATAGACTCTAGGGTTTTGCTTGCAGTGTGTAGATAGCTATCAAGTGCCCATAAAAGCTGAGATACTATTGGTATCTTTTGCTCCCACAGTTACATAGAACAGGAAATGCACTTGACAGTGAAGAAGATAGGAATCACGTCATTCTTGAGAGGTTTAAACTTCTTGGAGGGGTCGCTGCAAAATGCTGAAATTTAATTACTGGGAGTTGAATGTAATTTATCATATTTTTGATAATTTTAGAAAACCCCCAAAATGTTCCGACTTTCTTGCGCATAACCTCCACAACAGCGTTAGGCAATAACTTTGCATGGAGGAAAATACCCTCAAGGCCAATATCGTTAAGGAAAAAAATATTTCCCTATTTGTAAATTAACCCCCAAATTTGAAAACCAGGAATGTTTTGCCTTTTCTAAAAATTACATACGAAAATCAATTCTTACAAAGGGCCTCTAAAAATCTAGAAATTACAAATAGCTCACTAAAAAATTTAAAAATTGTAACCAACAATTAACATCCAAAATTTACAAAAAACTTCCATCAAATTATGAAAGCAACAAAAAGGCCTCTTGAGATATCTGAAAATTATGTCCATTTCCTCTTAATATGCAAAATAGTTCATTGTTCTTATTGATTTATAACTCAAAACATTAGGGCATAAGTAAATGTGATTAATTGAGAACCAGAGAACACATTGCACAAGCATTTGGTAAGGAGGTATACTTCATACACAAAATGTCTAAGTTGACTGGAAGAAAGATAACAGTACCTAAATATTAAAAGGGAAGGAAGATGATCAGACATGAAAGTTATATTTTCTGCTGATGGATAACTAAGAAACTCCATATACCCTATCATGAAATTACGTCATTTAAGTTTCATTTCCACCTATTGATCTTCGCAAACTTCTGAACCTGCAAATTCCAGAGAATATTCAAAACGTAAGTAGATAAATATAAAATAAATGTATAATATAAAGATAACGATTTGCGTAGTACAATGCACTGAAGATAAAAAATATCATGCAAAATAAATAATTTTTTAACAAAAAAGACATGCGGATCCTCAGTTTTTCTAGGCTGTGAAATATTATGGGCAACTATTTCCAGTAAAGAATTAACAGTTTGAACTTTGACCATATTTCGTTCTATGGCTCCATACTTAACTAAACTTCATTCACTAAATTAAATTCCAACAAGAAGAGGAAACAGAAATGAAAATCATATCAAAAAAACCTAAAATCCTTTATCTTTACAAGTAGTAAAAGGAGGTCTACTTCTTTATTGTGAAACATATAATGTTCATGCTCTCCAGTAGTTTTGGTCATCCTATTTTCCTTCTCCATGGTCATAAGAAAAACAGGAGTTAGTAGGCTTACAAATTGCTCCTTAACGAAAACCAAAGCATTTAGAACAAATTTTGAACTCCATATTTTACGTTTTACGTTAATATTTTATTACAAGTGACAATAAACAAATCTGCTATGCTGATGCAAACTCAGTATCTAACAAATGTTTTACCTATTAGAAGCCCCAAAACAAGATCATTACTATCAAAGAGAAGAAACATCAGTAAATCCAATCTATTCAAGATTTCTGTACCTAAGATCTAGCTAGACCAAATTTTATTCCCTAGTTAAGTTCACAATTGCTCTAATTAGCTCAATTTCAACTCTCAAGATATCAACTTACAATCTATCTATTTACTTAATTGTAGAAGTAATATAGCTAACCGTGTGCAAACAACAAACAACTCACCTATGGTGCATGCACTAATTAATCGAGTAAAGCTTCAAGTAAATAATGTGATTATATAATTTAATTTTAATGGTTTAATCTTCTAATAAGTAAACATATACTAGCCACCCGTACAGTACTAAAATTATAAAACCTTCAAGTTAAATACAAATTGATACTAAAAAAAGGAACCCTAATAATCATACTTAACTATGGCGCTCCTCTCTAGCGTCACCATTAGCTGTGGTCTTGAAGAACTGCCCTCCACAAGCTCCTACACTCCCAGCTGATGTTCCATTGCCGGCCATTGCAGGTGCATCATACTCTCCATTGACTCCCATCCTCGTCGCGGTTGTTGCCAGCTCCACCTCATAGCTCCTTAACATTATCATATGCTGTTGCGGCTGTTGATAGTAGCCAGCTGAGCCGCTGCTCTCTCTGCTCATCAAGAAGTGTGGATAGTTGCTGGGGCTAGTGATGTTCTGGTTCTGATACTTGGAGAGCTCGGCCTTGGCTAGGGTTAGATCTAGCTGGAGCTGGCGCAGCTGGTGCTGAAGGATGGAGATGATGCCGACACAGCCGTAGACAGGATCCTTGAGACGCATGTCAGCCTCATAGGCGAGGGAGTTCACAGCATCTTCACGTTGGTCGCGATCGAGGTCGTTGAGGATCTTCGTCACGTTGCTGGCGCCAAACACCTTGTGAACGTTCACAAATTTCTGTGGGTTGTCGGGCGGGAAGTAGGGTGCGAACACGCAGTCCGGCTGGCACTTTCGCCGGAGGAATTTACAAGCTGCGCACGGAGAGCTCGTCATGGTTGATGATGACCCCAAAGATGAGAGGGCAGTCGAGTGCGGAAATGCGGAGGAAGACGGCATCATCATCAAAGGTTGGATATTCTTGAAGCCTGTTAGAGTGATCAAAGAAAAAAACTTGAGAGAGTTTTTTTTTTTTTTGGTGAAATGCATTAGGATTATACACATAGATCCGATTTAATTATGTTATAATTGGATTGGATATCTTTTTAAGGAAATTGTTTTATTTATTGTTGAAAATCAATGATTCTTTTGGATACGTGATCATACCTTCCTCTTCTTGTGTTTAATTTTTCTTGTTCTTTCTAAATTTTTTTTATTTTATTATGATAATTTCGAAAGTTTTTGAAAATGCCCCTTCTCTCTTCAAAGAGATCTAAAATCCAAATTCTCATTTCTAATACAAAAAAAAAAGATAATATTGCACATATTGTTAGAATTAATTCAAGAGACTAAAAAATTAATATTCGTTCACTATAATGGACAGATCGTTACGAAAATTTGAAAACAGCAATACTAAATTATTAAATAAAAAAGTAAAATAAATTGTTAGAACTAGTCAAGAAAATCAAATTCTTTTTCTCAAATGTAAGAATTAATAAATGGAAGGAAATGGAGATAAGGAAATCCTTTTATAACAAAAGATTTCGTTATATTTTTCCCATATTTTTGAACAAAATCTAGAACCAAAATACAAACCAACATCTAAAATTATTATTATTTCAATATTAATAATTAACAAATCGCTAGCAAAAGGAACAAAAAGGAAGAAGAAGGTGGGAGAAAGAATGGCGGCAATTGGATCCGAGAACACGGTTATCGGATCCGGAAGAAGCGGCTCGACCCATTAAGACGCCTGAAAATGATAAACAGAAACCCATAGGATGTAATAAAAATTTAATACCTGAATATATGCTTGAATTGATATTCTCTGCTGTTGAGTGTTTTCGTTTCGTAATTAAATTACGCCTCCTTTTTTATCTCCTCGATTTTTTATTTTTATCCAATCCTTGAACCAAGGCAGCTAGGGAAGAGAGAAGGGGGCTGGAGTAAATGAAGAGACGAATGAGGAGAGAGAGAGAGAACACTGAAAGATGGTGAGAGCCTGAATATAAGGAGAGAGCTCAAACGATTTGTTCAATTATTATTATTTTTTTGATATAAATTAGTGAGAGAGAGAGAGAGAGAGAGAGAGAGAGAGATGATACTTTGATTATAGGACTGCTGTGAGAGAGAACATTGTCTTGTCATGGGCCTCATCGCTTATGACTAGTAAGAAGGTGGGCACATAAGCAATAAAGAGACTTAGCTAACTTTGGGTTTGGGCTGTCCCCGCTTACAAGAGTAGTTCCTAGGCTTATTCCTACTTTGCACTTACGTGCCCTAATGTTTTTAACATAAGCATGTAAATACTGTCAATTTTGCAAACACAAGAATTTCATCCTAAAAATTCTCATGTAACACTCGTGTGCTAATTATAGATCTTTTCAATCCTTAATTTTTGTTAAATTAACATTTAAAATTAACTTAATTCTATTTTAAACTTAACCCTAATTCTATTTTAACATAGATTTTAATAGGTTGAACAGCAAATTTTAACAAATATTGTGAGTTGAAATTTAATAAAATTAGCATGCGAATGTCACATGAGTCTTTTCGGGAGAAAATTCTTATACTTGCATAACTAAATGCGTTTGCTCTAAAATCGATCACTAGTCGTAAAGACTTGGTGGTTCAGATTGTAGAATATCCAATGAGAGAAAATACCACTTGATTAGAAAGCTTAATAGCACAGCCTAGGAATGTGTGATCTTAAAAGAGGACATGCGATAAAGATCGGAAGGTGATATGGTGTGTTGATTCGTTACAGCATTATGGTAGTACAATCTTGCCTTTAATCTACTTCTACAATTGTACAATCAACTCAAATGAAAATATTGTAACATAAACTCAATGATAAGAAAAAATTAAACTACTCCTATTTGATACCCTCAAAGTTTGATGGATTAGAAGTAAAGAGAGCAAATTTCTAGAAAAGTACATTGCACTAAAGTAAATAAACTAACGTACAAATATAAGTTATAGCTTAAGGGGCTGTCTGGTTTGTTTCCTTGATATAGAAAAATGCAATTCCATGTAAAGAAATACAAGTTTTGAGTTTTCCAAACTTTTCCAAGAAATAGATTGTTTTGCTTTTATTCGCACATAAAAAATGGTGAGAAACCAATGTATTTATTTTTCTTTTGTTTGATTCGCATAGAAAAAAAAGGAAAACTTTTGTAAACAAAGCAGAGAAGGAAAAAAATCTGACGTGACAGAGTTTTTATCAATTTCACTCGGTTGGGGAAGGAAATCGGAGAGGGAAAAAAATATGAGCTGGCGGCGATTTCAGCAGAGTTTTCCCTCTTTCATCCGAGCGAACCAAAGCGGTACAAAGAAATGAACGGAAACAAAAAAAACTGACGTGAAGGGCTAAAAATCTGACGTGGAGGGGTTTTCTGAGTTTTCCACCCCTTATAATAGCGAACCAAACAGCCCCTAAGCAGAAAAATCAGAAGGAACTAAACAACAACGGAAAGTAAAGAACATCATAATTAATACAGTAAAATAGATTTTTTTTCTTTGATTGTGTGAGCCCATTCTACTATCGAATATACAAAAACCTCGCATGTTTCGGTAACCATTGCTGCTTATTCCAGATATATTAACTACTCGCTACTATACACATCATGTTTGTAGGATTATTGTGTAGCCAACATTAGCCTACGCGTGAACTGTCCTTGTTTCCTCCAAATAAATGTAGCCTCTAGAGCCAATTGAGCTAGATACAGACCGTTACTGTTTGTCTAGCCAATAGTCTCTCCCCTCTTTATTCTATCCATCAACTCACCCAATCACTACCCGATATCTATTCCTAAAACTCGGGTGTAAACATTTGGCCCCTACATGGTAGTTAAAGGGATTTTGATCGGAAGTAATCATCGAATCGGTCCGAATCGCAACGCCATCTAACATTGCTAGGGTTATCGGCTATCCTATAATTTATTTAGTTATATCACATCACACTACTATAAAACAAGGCAGTCCAAACGGTTCTTGTAACTGTTTGGACAAGTGAAAATAACCCAAACAGTTTAAACCGTTTGGGATAATAAAACCCAAACAGTCAAAACCGTTTGGGCCGCAAAAAGATCCCAAACGCTTCGCCCAAACGTTTGGGCACCGTTTGGGAGTGTTTTCCCAAACGGGTTAAACCGTTTGGGTGTTTTAATAAATTTTTTTAAAATAAAACCTCTTTTTCTTCCATTCTCTCCCTATACTAAGGGGGCTCAAGGTTCGTGTTAGTAGTTGCCTTTGTACTCATCAGGTAGAAGGTCGAGAAGTATCGCCTTTTGGATCGCCTTTGCGAGATGTCGGATGAATGGTCGGTCGAATATGTTGGTCAAGAGGTCGGCCTAGCCTGGGGCCGACATGTAGCACATTTCGAGTCACCCTCGCGAGATGTCGGCTTGTCGAGTCATCCGAGCTGGGTCTTTGGCTATCTTGAGATGAAGAGTTGGCTCGATTACGCATAATATGGGGTACTTATCTACTATTGATTGGAGATTACTTTTTAACACTAAAATGGCTATAACACCAAGTAATATCCAAGGGTTCTCATTCATTGCTGTAGGCTATAAATAGGGATATAGGTTGAGGGGTTTCAGTGCGAAAATTTTTGTATTAACTCCGTTTGGAAAGGAGAGTCACTCTTAATTGAGAAGACCTTTAAAAAATTATAACTTTGTTGTAATTAATAAAATAATTTTTTTACCTCTTCATATATTTTTTTCTCTTTGTTTAATGACGAAGATGAAGATGAATGTTTGCTTTCAAGAGGCTAGAACCCTCTTGCAATATGAATTTTCTCTTTTACCTTTTATTTTCTTTTCTTATTTTAGATATTCAAGGGGCTAGAGCCCTCTTGTTTTAGATTTATTTTAATACCTTGTAGAGTAGATTTACTTTCATATCTCTATTTTCTTATATTTTGTAGTATAGATTTATTTTCTTACATAGTTTAGATTTTATTTTCTTGCATTATTCTCTAAGAGGCTAGAACCCTCTTGGAAATTAGTTTTTATTTTAATTCTTTTTCTCTCATTCTCCAAGAGGTTGGAACCCTCTTGAGAATTAGTTCTTTTCCTCCCATTCTCCAAGAGGCTAGAACCCTCTTGGAAAATAGTTTTTATTTTTATTTTTATTTTTTTTGGTATAAGTTTTTTTTTAATAACTCATATGGTACCAGTTTAAGAGTTTTTGTTTCTCTCTAATTAATCCATTAATATTACACATGTGATGATGACAAGCGAGCAACAAGCTGCGCTGCTAATCCTTTCTGAATCGCAAAACCCAACCGACGAAACACGTACTCAACTGATCCTATTGTCGCCACATTCCTATTCATGAATTTTTTGTACCCTCCTGAGGAACTCCACCGCATAAGCTGCAAGGTAACCAAACGTATCGAACGCGAACGGGATGAAACTGTGGTGGTTGTCCTTGCAAGCTTGATCATGTTTGCCCACATTTGCCTCTACTGCCCTATCCGCTGCGTGCCCAACCGTGAACACTCCATTACCAAACCCCACCAACGGAGACACCCTCGTGAGATCAAACAGGAACTCCACATCTTTATTTTTTCCTTTCATTCTCCAAGAGGCTAGAACTCTCTTGGGAATTAGTTTTTACTTTCATTCTTTTTATTCTCTTTAGTATTGATATTATTTCTTTGTTTTATTTTTAAAGATGTGAAACTAATTCTTATAGAAATTCTAGAATTATATGAAAGTAGTTTGATTTCTTTTATAATTTGTGAATTATTCTCTTGTGCTTTAAATGATCATGCTTAGGATAACCAACTAGAGAACTAATTGGTAGAAGAAAAATTTAATAATTTATACTTATCTTGAGTGGTTTGATAGGTTATGCTTATGAATTTTAGAATTACCATCTAGTTGTTGTTCTTTTCATAAATGTTAATTTTACTTGGATGGTAATTTGATAGGTTATGCTCTCCTTGAGTGATTTGATAGTCTATGCTTAATAAATAAAGTAAAATATGATAAAAAGAGAATAGGTCATAATCTATAAATGAAATTGGATAGTTGATTCAATTCTAAATCTCTCATATCTCTAATTAAATCCTCCATCTTTTACTTCTTGATTTTCCTCTTTATTCTTGATTCTTCTCTTATTTGTTTCTTGGGTTCATTTTTTTTATGTTCTTCATCTTCTTTCTCCACTCTCAATCTTTTTTGTTTTCATTTGCATATAATCACAACCACTCTCTTTATCTCTCCACAACCACTTTTATCACTCCTAATTGTCACACACACAACTTAAGAACTAATTTTAACTAATTCTTGCAACATCTTTCTCATGGGATTTGACAATCTCTTATACAATAACTTAGTAGTTGTGCGCTTGTAACTTTGAATTCTATTTATCACCCTACCAGTGCCACTTCGTCAAAACTGTTACATGATCTCTGTTGACATTAGAAATGCCAGAATCACAGCTATTTTCTAATAATGACGATCGAGACCATGAAATATAAAAAAGATCGTATTCTCTCAAACTCGGCTTCAGGAGTTTAAGTAAAAAGGGGTCAATGTTATACCTTAGAAATTACTAACTCTAATGGAGCCTCAAGAAGCAGCCATGTGTAGTAATTAGTTGGTCATCTCTGAAAACATCTTGCCTCACGACCCAGATACTAATAACATGCGTCTGGAACAATGGGTTGGCCTGCCAAACATTGTCAAAAGTTACATTGCATTTAATACATGAACAGTACTGCCCAAATTTCGTCGCCTATCACCATCAATATTAATGTGCGGTCAAAGTCATTATGACCTTTTGGGCCTTCAAAGCTCCTTAGACAAGTCATTACTCTAACAATTCCGTAACTTTTGTAAAGACGACTTGTCTAACCGATTATCTACACATGTAAAACATGGTCTAACCCATCACTACACGGACTCAGCTAAATTACCAACGTTCCCCCGTGAGCCCTCTATAGGTAATGGTGACTTCCCCACATGAAGGTAAGGCAATTACATGCATGAATGACTACATTCTACTTTTCTCTTCAAATTATCAGACTGGTCATTGGCTTGAGCGTCGGAGGGCACACCAGAGGAAACTTCTATTACTTGTATAGGGAAATACAACTCAAAAAGGAAAATAGGAGAACCAACTATCGAAAGAGACTAAGGGATCCTCAAAGAAATTCTAACCCCTCTAAACACTCATCGTTAACTTTCCGGCATAAACAAAATCCATTATGCTTCTATTTTAAAATATAATTGTGGTAGGTTTAAAATATAATTATGGTATATTTAATAGTAAATTCAACAAACATTAATAGTTTAAATGTTGTAAAATTAGCTTATGAGTATCATATGAGAAAATTAAGAGAGAACTCATCACATTTGTAAGGTATTAAAGTGCAAGTGTTAGGAACTCTACTCCGAGGTAGATACGTGATGGTCCCCTTTACTTGTCACCTGCTCCTAGCCCAGCCCGGCCCACTTAAGTTTTGCCATCTGGGTAGAAAGTTCGGATCCGGATTCTCTACTAATAAAAAGTTTCTAATATCTACTCATAAACAAATCTTAGCCATTCATTAAAATGGACGATCAAGATCTCCACCCCTCTCCTTCATCAACCCCAAACAAATCCTCTCCCCCCTCACTCCTCCAGCCCCTGCTCACCCTCTCCTATTCGTTCTCTCCCCTCACTCCTCCATCCCTAAGCTCCGACCACCGTCGTCGCCTCCATCAGATCCGTCACCACCAGCCACCTACTCCTCTTCCCCCTCAACCCGCCTCCTCACCACTGCCTCCCTCTCATCGTCATCTCGCCCTCAGCCCTCAGCCTGACATTGCCGTCCTTCTCTCTCCCTCACTTCTCTGCCATCCTCACCTGCCTCTGCCATCTGGCGTCCTCTGCTGCCCGCCGCATGTCTCCTCTATCATAAGTTACGATTCTGGTGGTGGGTGGGCGGAAGATTTTAGTTCCTAGCAGATCTCCATCTTGATGGTCATCACTGCATTTTTTTTGGGTAATTCATTACTTTTAAATTTAAGATTGAGTTTCATTGATTTTTAATCCCAGATTGAGTTTCAATGAAGAAGGTTTCTTTATGTTTGCTGTATGTATGTCAAAACTAAACAACTTGGATTATATATGTGTAGAGAAATATGTGTAGTGATTCTGATATATGATTGACTATTGCAAGCATTATGGAAGAGCCTATGAAAGAAAACAATAATAGTTTGGAGCGATCAAAAGAAGACTTGAAACCTAAATTTTTTATGGAGTTTGATTCTGAGATTGATGCATATGACTTTTATAACAAATATGCACGTAGTGAAGGCTTTAGCATTAGAAGAACTGCTTATGCTGCAGATAAACAAGGTGTACTCACTTCAAGAATATTTATTTGTTGTAAGGAAGGTTTGCGGAAGGCGGATAAGAGAGACAATTTGATGAGAAATCCAAGAGGAGAGACAAGGACTAATTATGGAGTGATTATGGGGATAAAGTTGGTTAGGCGTACTAGCAAGTATTCTATTTATCGTTTCTCTAAAGAGCATAACCATCCTCTTATCAGCCAAGAATCTGTCCATTTAATGCCATCTCATCGAAAAATCACATCATCAGATGAAGCCTTTTTAGACTTGACAGCAAATTCTAGTCTTTCGCCGAAGTCTGCATTTGAATTAATGGGTCAGCAAGTAGGTGGTAGAGAGTCACTAGGATTTACAAAGGTAGACCAAAAGAATTACCTTCGAGCTGTCCGACAAAAAAAAAATTTGGAGAAGCTGGTTATCTGATAGAATATTTTTCAAAGCAAATGTTGGAAAATCCTTCGCTCTTATATGAGATGCAGTTAGACACTGAGGAACAGATTACCAATGGTTTTTTGGGCTGATGCTAAAATGATAATGGATTATGGTATATTTAGTGATGTGGTAAGTTTTGATACAACTTACAAACTTAATAAAGCAAATCGACCATTTGCGGTGTTTGTTAGATTAAATCATCATAGAGAGACTATTATTTTTGGAGCTGCCTTAATGTGTGATGAGACCGCATCATCCTTTATATGGCTGTTTGAAACCTTTTTAAAGGCAATGTGTGGGAAGCCTCCATAAACTTTTTTCACTGATCAAGATGTAGTGATAGCCAAGGCTGTATTACATGTGATGCTAGGTACTTACCATCGACTTTGTATATAGCATTCTTTTTTTTTAAATGTATATGACCTTTTTTTTTGTATATGTCATGTACTTACCATCGAATTTGTATATGCCATTTGATGCAAAATGTTGTCAAGAAAGTTGGCTTCTTATTCTGAGACCACAATGAAGAAGATGAAGGCAATGTGTTCAACAAATTTCTTTATCAATTTGAGGAAGAGGATGAGTTCTTAAGTGCTTGGCAGTCCATGCTTGATGAGTACAATGCACATGATGATACTTGGTTGGCTGCAACATTTGAAATAAGAAAAAAATGGGTGCATGCATATGTGAACAACTGAGTGAGAGCTTTAATGCTAGTTTGAAGGGGTATTTGAAATCATACCTACAATTGCCTGAGTTTTTTACTCACTTTGTAAGAATGGTATTTGATAAGCGGTATAAGGAATTGGAAGCTAAGTATGATTTGTTGTTCCGGATTGTTCACTACAAAATGGAGGTAAGTATATTGATACATGCACGAGAAGTTTATACCAAAGCCATATTTAAGGTATTTCAAGATCAATTTGAAGACTCTCTAAAGTCTTCCATAACGAAGTGTGTGTCCAATGGTGAAAAGTATATCTTCACTATTGATAGGGATGAGTTCTTTAAGGAGAGGCTAGTAAAAAGAGAAGGTCAATTTACAATATCTTGTAGCTGTAGGATGTTTAAAACTATAGGTGTCTTGTGTAGGTATTGTATCAAAGTGATGATAGAAGGTAGAGAAACTACACTAATAAAAAGGATATCTGAGCAATATATCTTAGAAAGGTGGACAAAAAATGAAGAGTTGATAATGTTGTGCAGGACATGCATGAGCACGAGATTGTAGAGAACCCAAGGCTGAAACAAACTTCTCAATATAGAAGTTTATGTTCTAAGTTTGTTCGACTTGCATCAAGAGCATCTGAGAGTGAGAAGACATATGATAGAAGTTTATGTTCTAAGTTTGTTCGACTTGCATCAAGAGCATCTGAGAGTGAGAAGACATATGAGGCAGTAGATATGGAAGCTGATAAGTTAGTAAGTGAGAAGACATATGAGGCAGTAGATATGGAAGCTGATAAGTTAGTAAAGATGGTTGAAGATATGTTACATGTAGAAATAAATGGTGAAAAAGATGTGGAAGATGAAGCCACAAATATCTTGGTTGATTACTCTAATAATGTGATCGTTGTGAATGCAAAGGGATTCAAAAAGAGAGAAGCTACACATCATGGAATATGTCGAGCAAAGGGAGGTTTTGAAGCTCAGTTAAGCAAAAACAAAAAGAAGCTCGCACATGTCTTATATTTAACTATAATTGACTCGCACATGTCTTATATTTAACTATAATTAAAGTCATTATTTACTTCTTGCTGAATATAGTCATTATTGATGTCTATGCAATGATAGGTAACTAAAGTTTCAAGACATTGCGATGCAATGGAGCAATCTCTTGTACCTTCTCCACAACAATCTCAGGTTTCAAAACAATGCTTCACATTGTGTATAATGAGTTTTCAAACAACTATAGTGTTATATGATTCATTACTATCAATTACAGGTACCTATGCACTCTCCTATGATGGTTGGTAATGGTAGATATATGCCAATGCTCTTTCATCCGTATAACGTGAGAGTGTGCTTGCTATTAATATATGATTTTTTTTTGCTATCTGTTTATATTGTTGGTATTTTGATAGATACATGGGCATCAACTGAATATGCCAAGTTCATAAGAATTTGTTCAATCAAATATCATGGGATTTTTAGACTCAGAAAAATCAAATTCTAAGCAGAGTTCAACTCCAAGACCGAACATTTCTTCAACTTTCAAGGGAGATAACTAGTCTACTACTCCTCTACACTCTGTACCTGAACAGAGGAGCTCTAATACTGATATTAACATATCTTTGCCTGGGGGTTAAGGAGATGGAATTTTGTTTGCTTGCATTTCTAACTAGCTTCCCGTAACTTTTGTTGTGAAATTTAGACATTTTCTTGATGGAACTTGTGTTAGGATTCTAGATCTGTAACTTTATTGACTTTTGGGGAGTTTTCTGTTAATTGTTGTCGCTATTTGTAGTTGTAACACCTGATTTTTTTAGATGGTGCTTGAACTTAATTATGAGCTGCTTGGATGAACTTTAAATCAGTGAGCTTTCCCCGAGTTGTTTTTCTTGGAGTTGTTAGTGATGAGTTTTATTTGTGCAATATGTGCAATATGTGCAATATTGATGGATACAGCAACTTTGTTGCTAGTTGCATGAAATGGTGCTAATTTCTTTTGATTATTCAGCATACCCAGGATTGTTTCTTCCCTGTCATTTTATTCCTTTTATTGTGTTGCTTTTATAATTTCTCTGAAACATTATAGCATACCAAATTTATACGTCAGATACATTCAGATGGGAAGATCCGCGATGCTTAAATTACACACTGAAGCACCACTTCAGCTACCACAAGTATTCATTACAGACACTGCACACATAAGCACCACAAGTATTCTCAATATGAGACCACAACCAAACAATTGACACAACCAAAAAGAGCCTAAAGGAACATAGAACATCAAGTCTCATGAAAAGTTGAAACATGGAAGAACTACAGCATTGAACATTTTGTTGTACATGCACACAATAAAAACTGAAGATAAATATTCCTTACTACAATTTACAGATCAAAGAAACCCTCTAAATAGGAGAAAGAAAAACTATTCTACAGACAGACTTGACTTAAAAACAAAGACCATCCCCGCCATCTTCGTCATCTGTCATGTTGTTTATAACTCCTTCAATTATGTTCTTCACTTCAGCCTTTCTATCTATGAGGTCAGAACAATATCCAGTTCGATTATGCTTATCAAGCTTTTCCTTCACTTTTGCCTTATTTTTCCCTGTAGGAAGAAATTATTGTCAGAACAATAAACAAGCTAAAGAACGGACCAAACTTATTAAAGGAACACATCAACCAGTTTGAGAAAAGTGAGCTGTAAATATGCATAAGGAAATGTAATACTCATATGAGGAAAACACCATGAGAACTAACATTTAACCATGACCCAACTACCAAATAGCCAGAAGTTTGTAAAATTTAAATTGACAAACAAAAGTATAACAAGTTCATAAAAAGAGTAAGTAATTTAGATACCTTGTTTTTAGTCCAAACAAACCGAGAGAATTGGAGGATATTCCTTTTCAAATTGATAGACATTACTGCAAGGGCTTATATCTTTCAGTTAAGTAGAGATATTAAGAAGAAAAAAAAATCATAAGCAAGCACTTCAATCAATCTACACCCAGAATCCAAAATCAACGACAATCAATCTACACCCAGAATCTAAATCTCCATCTCTATAGCCACTAATTTCAGCACAACCAATTAAAGAAAAAAAGACCCATTACCTACAACACCGATTCAATCTCACAGCGGCGGTGTCGTTCGGTGGGGGACGAATGAGGAAGAATACACCTGCAGTACCGATTCAAGATTTTTGGGGCTTGATGGAGATCGAGAGCTCGAGGGAGATCGAGAGCGATCGACGGAGATGGGGGATGTCGGCGGAGGAGGAGTTGGGGGATGTCAGTAGAGGAGGGGATGTCGGCGGAGTTGTGGGCCGTCGGCGGAGTTGGGGGATCTCGAGAGAGAGCGAGAGTGGGTCGGCTGAGGCGGATGTTAGCGGAGTTAGGGGAGCTTGAGAGAGAGATCGAATGTGAGGCTCTAGAACCTCGATTAACCCTGGAGCTGCTGTTTCTGGTCATGGCGGATTCCTACAGGAGAAGTCTCAAGGAAATTGAAGATAAAAGAGATAGAATTGAGGAGGAAGAGAGAGAAATTGATTCAATTAGAGAGGAAGAACTTGTAATTCATTGATTGATGATTGATACTTGTACAACATTGTATTTATACATTCTATAATTGAGCTGAGCTCGTGCACGTGCACAAACAGTGCCGAACAGAAATGTAACAGAATTTTTGATAGTTGTAACTGAATACAATTGCTTGTGATTATCTTGTTTACAATGTGCTAAATCAATCTTCCATGTTCTCCTCTCTTTTGTGTTTCAGTCCAATTTGTTTGCATATCAGTCTATGTGCTCATGTGCTCATCTTCCAAGCCTGTAATGTTGTGCTCATCTTCCAAGCCCGACTCAGTTCCCTTATTCTTTGCTGCTTGTAGCATAGCCTCCCCTTGCCTGTATTGTAACCTTGTTAGCTGCAGCACCTGACAAACTCCCACCCCTTAAATTTGACCTCGTCTCAAGGTCGAAAGCAGGAAAACGCTTGACTAATTCCCAGTATGATTCCCAAGTGGACTCCATAGCCGGACGCTGTCACCATTTCACCAGCACTTGAGAAACTAAATGCCTCCCTCTTATCACTGTCCTTCTATCCATAATCTACTCCGGCTCATCAATTATTTCAGTCACATAGTTAGGCGGATCTACCTAAAGAATTGCTTCTGTTCCAAGCTGTTTCTTTAACTGGGACACATGAAAAACAGGGTGAATTTGAGATTGACGTGGTAATGCCAGTTTATATGCAACTTCCCTAATTTTCTCCAAAATCTGATAAGGACCATAATATTTAGGAGAAAGTTTGTGGGGTTT